CCCTGTCTCCCAGACAGCAACGTCAAACCGAGGCTGGAGTCCGCAGCCGTGCATTGTCAGGGATTAAGCCGAGCACACCAAGCGAACCGCCCGAGGGTCGGGGTCCACGGGGTGGTGTTGCTTAGGATGCCCACCCTGGGCTACGCTAGCTGCTGCTTGTGTCGCCGGGTAGGCGACAGCTTGAAGCATGCCGAGACAAGACATTCCTTGTGTCGCCAGGGCAGCGACGGCGCTAGCATCGAGGAGGCTCCAGCTCACCTGGGCCCTGGAGAGGTCAGAAGTCGCCCTGAGTACCCCTCCTCCAGCGGGGCCGCTCTCACTCCCTTCTCTCCAGTAGCCAGATTCGAATGACTGCTTTTGATCTCATTTGTTACCAACCCTGGCATTTGTTTTCCATTTTATAAACGCTTCCCTTTAAGTAATTGTCCCTGTTAACAGCGTATACCTTTCAGCAGCCCTCACTGCGCTATAAATAATCTCGATGAAGATGCAAGGATATGACTTTCACAAGATTGGACAATTGATTCAATCTGTGACCCACGATCGCGAATAATATTGGAAGGCTATTTAAACAGATGAAGGCCTAAATTGTCTTGCTTGTATCTGAATTAATTTCTCATTCATCATCATTATGAAGTGATTGGTCTATTCAAGCTCTTCAGCCTGCTGGAACGAAGCGAGATTTAAATGAGATTGTAACACAATTTAAATGCTTGCTGACTTTAACGAGGCCAATTGAGCAGCTGCAATAAATACAAATATTTTTCTAAACAGCCTTGTTTTAAATAATTACTTAATGCTTTCATGTTATTTATAAGTGGCAATCTTTCTCTCTCCTGCTCAGAATATCACATACTTATTTGCTGAGAAGGCAGTTTTGGAAACGACTTTGTATTTGTTTGCTTTGCAGATGATAGGATGCGTTAGATGGTTGGTTTTCTCTCCCCCGTTAGGGTCAATGTTTCCAGGACCTAGAAGCTAGTGCAAATGACAAGCTGGACTTAGCTTTGCCTTATTGCAGTCTGATGTGCCTGCCCCGGGAGAGCCATGGAGGAGCTGAGTGATGGAAGAGATTTGCCCATGCATCTAGTCACTTAGCCTGATCCCTTTTAGCTGGGTCCTGCAAACGAATCTGTGCTATTGCACTTACAAATGACACCCTGAAGAGTGACATCACTTCTGATTTGTCCTGATGACTGTCATCATCTTGAACAAGTCAGAATTCCAGCATATCTCAGAGGTGTCCCTGAGGAAGTTCAATCTTAGAGTAGTCGGCTCTCTTGCAACTGGGCAGGAGTGGGTAGAGGCAAACTAAGGATTTCTTTGTTAGGAAGTTGCACAGAAAGAAAACTTGCCATGGGGCTGAGGAGATGGCTCAGTGGAATAAGCGCTTCCTTAGCAGGCACGAGGGCCTGAGTTCAATCCCTGGTTCTGCCAAAAAACAAAAAACAAACAAACAAACAAAAAAAAAACTTGCCATAATGAATGGTTAGAATTGTGTCATAATTAGGAGAAATTCCAATTTTCAGTGTAGCCCCCCCCTCTACTATTCTGGAGCCATGGTGCAGGGAGACAATATTAAGTTGGCAAAGCTCTCCCACTTGGAGAATGTCCTGTGTCTGGACATCTTCAGCAACTGACCACTGTGACAATCATGCTCTCCAGCCGACATACGGAGGAGGGTGTTTCCTCATTTGGGGAATAATGGAAGCAACCAAGCAGGAAGCCTGGGGAACAAAAGAACCTTTTAAACTTAAATGAAGAGGGGGTCTGAGAGACTTACTGTGGGGACCCAAGATCCTGTTTGGGTTGACAGGTCTAGAGCCACGTTCCTCTAGAAGTGTTCTGGTGAGAGGGTGGGTTCTGACTCTCTTCTGCCTCTGTCTGTCATGGGGAAAAGCATTATGTGCCAGAACAGGAGTGGAGCCTAAAGGTGGAGCTGATATAGTCACTAGAGAAACCATCAAACAGCAGGCCAGAAAAGAAAAATGGGGATAAAGATGGAAGAACCAAGTGATTTGCTATGTAACTGGGCAATTTAATGCCAGAGTTAGAGAGCTGCTGGCCAGAATCATTTTGTCTTCGAGGCTCTGTAGAGCTCATCCGCTTTATCCTGTTGTTTAAAATGAGCATTATCCCAAACATATGCAATGCAATCAGTTTGGTCACACTTACAAGAACACGCTTTAATAAGGCAATCAATCACACTCTAACAAGCCAGAGACTGCCTGGCCCTGTACACACTTGGCTTCGGGCAGCTAGTTTCATCCGCGAGGAGAACCAGCCTGGGGACACGGCTGCGTTCCCAAGCCCCAATGCCCAGCCAGACTGAGGAGCTATGGGAGGATGGGTCAGGAGGAAAGTGTCAGACTTTGAGGGGAGTAGCTTCAGAGTCCCAAAGCAAAGTGAGAGTTTGCTCAATACCTGAGCTGTTTGATACCTGGATCTTCCGTTTACCCACCTGCACAATGGGCAATGGGACTGAGACCAGGCACCCCTAAGAGAAGATGCTTCTAAAGTTGAAAAAACAAAAGCAATACCTTGTTAGGCCCTGTTGTCCGGTCTATCCCTCTTATTCTACTGATAGAGATGTGTAGATGGGGGAGGGTCTTCTGCGTGGTCCTCTCCCACCTCACTACCAAATTGGGGCGTGTCAAGCCAGACAGAGTCGGGTACAGGCAGGAGAGAAGGGTGATTGAGTGTGAGAAGTGGTGCCTAGCGCCAAACCGCAAACCTTGGCAAAAGGGAAATTTCATTATGAAGTAATGAGTAATTCCTCCTGGCAAGATGTATTGTTATATCTTCCACTTCAATTTGGAGGAAGAGAGGCTCAATTACCCAGAAAATACAGTCAATTAAAGGCTGCTGATTGGACACGAGGCTGGATCATCGATCTTGTACTTTCCAATATCGCTGCAGACACCTCATTTTCCCTCCCTATTAACTGAAAATACGCCTGGCATTAAGGCAACCCACAGCCCATTTACCTGTCGCAAGCAATCTCTGCCCGATGCGGAGCAACCGCAAAATTTGCCAGGATCTGGCACTTGAGAGCTTCCGGCTACAGAGGGAGCTGCCCTAGCCAGGGCGAGAAGCTGCGGGTAGGGGTGCGGGAACTTGCTACAGGCTTGGGTTGGGAGGGTAAGGACCACTGTGCGCAGGTGGGGGCTGCCTCTAGAACCCCAGGAGTGAGGAGGGTAGTTAAGTCCTCAACTGCCTGCAGAGACAAGGGACAACCCTGGGCAGGAATGTGGTCCCAGTCTCCTAACCTCTCAGAAGGCACCCCCCCTCCTCGGAGGAAGCTGCACTCCAGAAGCAGCCAGCTTGCCTCAGGTGGGCTAGGGGTTGCTGCTGAGCACTGCCTGTCGCCTCTCCCTCACTGCCCCAGAGTTCCATTTTCCCAGTGACTTTAGTCTGCTGTCAAGCAGACCAAGAGTGCCATATGCTGGTCTCTGCCCCTACCTTTAGGAGCAACCCAGCTTGACCAGCAAACAGAACTCTGCAGGGCTCCAGCTGCACTGCCATAGCCCCATTTGCTCCCTCTTGAGCTGAGGCACTGGCCGGTCTCAGGGAGATGAAACCAGGTCTCTTCCTCAAAGGACCAGAGCATCTCGACTGGGATGAGTCCATCAAGGGCGGAGCCCCACGAGGAGTCAGCACTTGGGAGTCCAGTTTCCCCATGGACGGGCTCCAGTGCAGAGGCAGGAAGCATGCATCCCAGGGCAGAGAGAAGCCTCTCTTCACCTTCCTGTAATGTCTGATTGGAGTTTGCCAGTCCAACAGGGCCTTAGGAAACTCCTTCTTACCCAATTAAAATAAGAATCAGTGTGTTATCTGCTGAAAAAAAAATATTTAAATGCTAAAGTGAGAATCATGTCCAGCTTTTATTGCAATATGGTTAACAAATCATAACAGCAATTTCTTTGGGTTTCAAAGGAAAACCCCAAACCAAACCAAATTCATTCCCTACAGGAAGAATCACTCCCTCCCAGTTGGGGTGAGGCTTGTCTTGGGGGTGAAAGTTCTCCTCTTCCTCAACAGCCTCAACTGGCTGCAAGAATGAATATGGGAGTGACAGTTTGGGAATGGATCTCAATCAAACCCTGGTGAAGGGCAGAAACAGGCTCCTCCTCCCCGAGGGTATGGGACAAGTCAAGCCCCTGCGGCATCTTCAGAGGAAATTGAGAGAAGGAAGTAAAATGCCAAATGCAAAGGAAAGGGCCAGAAAGCTCCTGGTGAGGTGAAGGTAAGCAGGCAAAAGATGAAAATAACCTCCAGTTTACCAGCAGATACTGAGGGAGGAAGGTGAATTCCAGACTCCCTAAGCTCTTCCCTGGGCACCTTGTTAACGGCGCAGCTCTGAGCTTGGTGACCAGCAGCAGGATGATCATAATTATACATACATTCAACATTCAGAAGCCCTCCACACACATCACTTGCTAATCAGGGTGTGTGCTGGGTCCTGGGAGAAGAGGCTTGGCCTCTGCCAAGGGGCCCTGGGGCAGCTGCAGCTTCCCTGCCAACGTCAAACAAAAAGTGGAGGGAGGAGGGCTGGAATAGCAGGTTGAGAGTTGTCACAAAGCTAGAGTGAGGAAAAAGATCAGGTGCTGGTAGATGTCAGAACCAGAAGACACTGTGTAATTGGGCTTCTAGGAAGGTGAGAGAGAAACACTGAGCTCCCTGTTCCTTGCCAAGAGGCAAGATTCTCCCTGGCAGTAAATCATCTTGCTCACTCCCCTAAATGGGCTATGTTGCCATCACAAGCCCCATGCCATGCCTTGGAAAAGCTGGTGAAGATTAATCTCTACCTGCTCTGCATACACAGCATTTTGTTCAGGGACGCAGCAGTTTCCCTTTCCAGTGTCTGGTCTTGGCAGGAGAGAGGGCCCAGGCAAGGAGCGGGAGACAAAGAGGCTGAAGAAGGGTTGCTACTTGCTGCTAAGTTTTGTTTAGCTGTGGGGTCACGGTCTCAACCTCAGCCCTGGGTGGTGGGTCTGGTGAAGAAAGGTGAAAAACCCCAAAAGAAGCTCTCTCAAACTCAACTTTCCCATACCCACTTGTGCTCCCCAAATGCCAGCCACTCTGGCTTCCCAGACTTCCCGCTCCTCTAGCCTGAGTCCCGCTGGTCCTTTCAGGCCATCTCCTTTCCCTGGCATCTTGAGGGCAGGAGGGACCTAGCTGAGTCCCACGGGCATCCTGGAGCTGGTAGCCCGAGGGCGGCTCCTTATCTCGTGAGGGGCACCTCCTCCCTCTGGTCCAACGCAACGGAGGAGGCCTTGCTGAGCACAGAGGGCGCGAAGGTGAGGAAGGAGTCCGAGCGCGAGGTCGAGGCACAAGTGAAGTCCGAGGCGGCCGCGGCCCGGGGCGCCAGCCCATTGGCGGGGCCGCTGTGACAGGCAAGGCAGGAGCAGGGGCCGCCGGCCGAGGTCCCCAGTCCGTGTGCCGGGCCCGCAGGGTACAGCGGTGGATGGCGGAAGGCGCACAGCAGTTCAGGCCGCGGATAGGGTTGAGAGAGCACGCGGAACGTGTCGAGTGGACGCAGCGGGCCGCTGAAGGGCGAGGCGGCGGCCGAGGCGGCGGACGCGGCGCCCAGGCCCATCGGCGAGTAGTAGGGCAGGGGCAGGTGCGACGGGAAGGGGTAGGGCAGGCCGCCCGCGGCCGCCGCGTGGCTCATCATGTACGTGTAGAAGGCGGGGTCAGCTGGATGCGGCCACGTCATGGCCAGCCGCTGCCGCTTGTCCTTCATGCGCCGGTTCTGGAACCACACCTGCGACACGAGTGGAGCAAATTGGGCCGCTGGGCTAAGCCCAGTGTCGGGGCTCAGAAACCCTGCAGTTCCAGGGGACAGTGCCCACACCCCAGAGGGGAGCCAAAGCAGTCACGAACTGAAGTCAGCACCCTCCCCCAACTGCAGCTGGGACCCCTCCGTGGGAGGTTCAGCAGTGACTGCAATCTGCCCCCTCCTTCCTCTGCACTCTTAACCATGTTCCCCAGAGTGCCAGGACGGGTGTAGGAGCGCAGGAGCGCGGGGGAGGGGAGGGAGGAAATCAGGACTCCGAGTCAGGCCACAGACAGCGTTTCCTCAGAAAATTGTCTTCTCCCGTCCCTCTTTCAGGGCACCCATCCCTGTTTTCTATTTGCCTACAAAGAAAAGATAGGCCCTCTTGGCAACTGTGCCTGTCTCCAGACTGTCAAAGAGTAAATCTTAAATCTGCACATTGGGGCCCACTTCCTGCTAAATGGGCGCACACCCTCCTAGGGCGTCTGTGTCGCGCATACCTTGATGGTGGTTTCCGGCAGGTTTAGGGCTGCCGCCAGCTCACACCTTCGCGGCCTCGATACGTAGTTCTCCCGGTAGAATTCCTTCTCCAGCCTTGCAATCTGCTCCCGGGTGAAGGCAGTGCGGTAACGCCTCATCTGGTCACTGGCGCTGCAGGCCAGGGTGCCTTGTGACCCTCCGCTGCCACTGCTGCCTCCACCGTTGCTCTTAGGGTTCTCGTTGCTGCCGTTGGGACTGCCGGCCAGTGTGTCGGAGCTGGGCCCTGTGCAAGGAGCCCAGAGCATACACGTGTACACACAACACACATACACCTTACACAAACTGCAGATACTGTAGGCCCAAAGCCTGGTGTCGATGGAGTGGGATGAAAAGAGACACTGTTGGGAGCCTCAGGCGTTGCCTCTGTTGGGCTCAGGGGACTCTAGGAAAAGGGGTGGGAATATAGATGTTTCGGGGGTAGATCTGCTGGGGCTGCAACCTGGAAGGCCTGGATCTAAGGGATCCCAGCCATCCTCCCCACCTGTACTGAGGCACAGGGAAAATGCATGCTTTTCTAGCTTTCTGCCCACCCTTGACAGCAGTACACCAGAGGGTACATGTTTGGCAAGCAAGTGAGCAAAGATGCATCTTTATGCTGGAGCATCATGCACTGTAGGATGCTGGGTATGCACAGGAACCAGGACAGCAGCAGGAATGGGAGCATTTTCTGGGCTGTGTGCACTGCAGGGATGGTATATCTGAGTGGAGGGAAGGTTGTTCTCAAGACAGGTTGAGGTTGGGTGTGTGGGTTGAGAGGATATGGGTACACAACAAGGTGTTGCCTGCCAAGGCTAAGAGGTGGCCTTTCTTCCCTGCCAGGCTCTTCCCACCCTTTCCCAGGCTTTGTGGAGGAGTGTCTGCTGATGAGCTTTCCCTCCCAGTTTTTTACCCTTCTTTGGCTGAGTGATTGTTGGCTTACTGAGACTTTTTCCGGGGCCATCACCCCCCACTCCCATTAGCCTTTGGTGGGGAGGAGGTCTCTAGTTAAAATAGCCCCCTCCCTTAGGGCCTACCCCAGGAAAGGGTGGGGCTCTAACCCCCTGCAGCTCCTTTTCCTTTGGTTGGAGAAGTGGGACTTGGAAGGAAAGGGAAGGGGGGAGGGCCCAATCTCTCCCTTTTCAAATGCAACCGGAGACCAAAGGCAATTAGACCATTGGGACCATTTCCGACCTGGCGCCGCCTAGCCCGGGAAGTGACAAGGTAATTTGGACCTCTGACCGACGTGCAAAATCGTCGGAGGGCTGCAGCACCCGGACCGCCAGAGTCCGCAGTGATTTTACGGTCCTTTATGGACTCCTGGCTTCCGCGCCTAGATGCGCCTTACACCCCGCCAGATACAAAATGCCCGGCCCATGTTCGATCTTGTTCTACCCGAGGGAAGGTGTCTTTGCCGCTCAGTTGAAGCATTACCACAAACCACGGGGGCCTGGGGTGCATTCTGAATCCCATAAGCCCAGGATTTGCTCTCCCCTCTCCCCAGGCACAGCTGTCGCCCTCAGTCCCACCAACGCCAGAACACAGTAGGAGACCCCCGCCAGGGATCGAAGAGCAGGGAAGAGTTGCTCGGGTGGGTCCCCCCAGCCATTATGCCCGGGGGAAAGGAATGTCTTCCTCCAGGCCAGAGCCGAAGTGAGGGATGGGCACAGTGGGAGGCCGGGAGAGCGGAGGGGCGCGTGGCTACCTTTGCTGTGCTGGTACTCGGCGTTCCCGGTGGCGCAGTCCGGGGTGCAGCTCACCTCGATTTCTTCATAGAAATCCGACTCGGTGTCTGAGCTACTGGGCTGCCCCTGGCCAGAGAGGCTGTCGGCAGGAGGGGCCGGGGGTCCCGGGCCAAGCATGGCCGCGCCGGCTGCCCGAGGCTCGGCGCCCAGCCCCGCCGCGCTGCCTGAGAGTCCATCGACCGGCTCCTCCTCCGAGCCTGCCCCGCCGCGCTCCCGGGCAGCTGGAGGGCCGCCCCGCGGGCTCAGGCAACCGTGGGGCACCATCTTCTCGGGCGGCTCAGGCAGCGGGCTGCCCACGGCTTCGGACAAATTGGAGACCCTCTTGCCAACCAGAGTGCCAAGCTGACCCCCATCCAGAAACATAACCATGTCCTTTCGGCTCTCCATCCTGGGGCTCTCCGGAGGGGGAGGAAGGAAGCCCCAAGTGAGCTCCTAACCCCCAGCTCCCTGAGACCCCAGAGGTCGGACAGATCTTGGCTGCAAAAGGGAGGGAGAAACCGGGCGACTGGGTGGGAGCCGAGCGGCCAAAGAGCGGTAGCGACGGCGACGGCGGAGGTGGCAGTGGGGAGCTGGGGTCACCTTGTGATGCGAGCGCTCCTCTGTGCCGCACCGCCTCTGGGAGGAAGCCCCATTGCCCTCTTCTTTCTAAGCTGTCATCCTCCTGCTGCAATCGTCATTACAGTACCGCTGGTGACGCCACTCGGCGAGCGCAAGTGGATAAATAGAAACGTCTGCCACCGCGAAGATGAAAGGAGACCCGCAGCTAATGGCTCGGCAGTGATGCGCCAGGTGTGGGCCTCGCTCGAATGGGGAGGAGAGTGTGAAAGCAGAGAGACACACACACTGAGAGGGGAGACTCCCAGTCAGAGGGGATGCAAATGGAATTCCGCAGAAAGAAAAGAGAGCTTAAGGAGCGCAGGAGTTTCGCAGGGGCGGCGGGACTCGGCAATTGAAAACGCTTTTGATTTTTCTTTTATTGTTGTTTTGACTTGCTTTCTTAACTTGATGCCTCGATGCAACATTGATGAAAGACTCTATACCTGCATTTTGGAAGTGTGAAAGCCGGCTTAGAAGCCGTGACTCTCACCATATTATCACAACTGCCTGTCCCTGTCAGCTAACCTCAAACTGACTCCAAAGACTTTTTTTTTTTTTTTTTTTACAAGCTACTGAAAAAGGTAGCGCCCCCCCACCCCATAAGTTGTCTGCAGACTTGGAACCTGGAGGACCCTTTGCTCTCTCTTTTTCTTTCCTTACCCCGTCTGTCTCTTTCCTCCCAGGAACAAACCTTGGCTATTTTTCTTCTCCAAGGGGCATGAGATAAATATCTTAATTTTTCTTTAGAGGATCCCTGTTGCCTGCTGACTCAAAGTGTTCGATGATTTTGTTTTGTTTTAAACTCTCCCTCCTCATCTAGATGGCCTTAAGCTCTCCACGGCTGTCTTGACCAGGAGGTGGCTATTCGTAGAAGAAATCGCTTTCCATTTGATCTGGCTTTGGTGGCACTTCAGGTATGTTGGGTGGGGAGAGGTTCTAAAAACGGTCTTGTTTCTTCTCCTGCCTGAATTTTAAGGTATTCATTCAGAGTCAACGAATTCTCCTGGAAACAGGTTTTTCCAGTAAAGAAGTGCTGGCAATGCAGCCCTGGTTGCAACAATGCTGGAGACCCCCCCATGTGGGAGGCGATGCTTGCCTTCCTTCCGAGATTTAGGGTGGGAGTTGAGCACACGGAGTGCATGGGGTCAGCAGAGGTGGGAGTCATAGAGTCCCCCTTTGGGCCCTCCTCAGGGGCCACAGCCCTTGGCTTTAAAAGCTGGAGAGAGAACAGAAAGAAATCGCTGAAAATGCTCTTAAAAGAGCAAGTTCCCAGGTGCTCTCCTAAGTCTGTGCGGACTCAGGGCCAAGTCCTATCTCAGGTGGGAGAGGTAGGGGCAGGGTTGTACAGCATGATGTGTCGGGGAGGCTACACACTCTCAGGGAGCTGGCAGCCAATCCTTTTACAATGGCCCCTTATGGAAGCTGAGCAAGTGTGAGGGCCTGGCAGGTGGGCTGGCTCTTTCCTCACTTTGAGGAGGGCAGGAGGTGGGCCCTTTCTAGGCTAGCTCCTCTTCCTCTGTCCCCTCCTTAAGAGCTTCTAGTTCTAAGCGACCATCAAAAGGTGGTCCCTGCATGGGGGTGGTTCACCCATATTCTTACGCAAAGCCCCAGCCTCTGTAAAGAATTATTCTAGTACTCCCTTTTTGTCTTCTATCTCCTACTTTTCTTTCCTCCTTTTTCATTTCCTCTTCTCTAATTTCTCCCCACCCCACCCCAATCTTCCTATCTCTGGAATAGGAACAGGTAGAGGAAGCACGAAAGACCAAACTGTCCCCTCACTCCTGCCATCCACTACTTCCCAGTTCAATTAGATATTCATTGGCCTTCTCTGTGCAACAGAGGCAGGTAGGAAGGTAGCATCCACTTCCTGCGCATACCAAAACCAACATCTGCTGAGCACTTCTAGCCCAGAAAACTGGGGAAATATTTCAGAGATTAGAGGTGAGTGATAGGAGATGAGCAAAAGTGAGGGACTGAGGTCCTAATCCATATATTCTACCACGCCCTGCCTTTCCTCCCAAGCAGCTAGAGCTGGAGGGGATCTGGGTTCCTTCTTGCCTGTCAAAGTCCTGTGAGACTTCTGAGTGTCTGCCTCAGCGTTGCCTTGTTTGCCCAGTGGGCCCTTGGAGCACCCATCCTTCTCCCCCGTGAATATGCCACCTTCTCATGGCTCCTTACTGCCCCCACTCCTTGACGCTTGTCCTGAGAGGGACTCCAGGCTCCTCGGTCTCACCCCTAGGTTAGCATGCAATGGGAATGTTTTGTGTTTGATTCTCTTTTCCTCTGGGTTTTCCCTCAAAATGAAAGCCAGTGGGATTGGGAGATCAGGGGCTGCTGTTTAGGGTCCTTCCTGGCGAGGTTTGATGAAGCAGGGCTGCACTCCCAGAGGGAGCTAAATAGGGGCTCAGCCTCTCGGGCAGGGGCTGCTTCCTCTGGGCTCCAGGGCGGGAGCTTGGGGAATATCTCCCCTAGCCAAAGCCCACCCCAAGCCACTTCAGGCTCCTGCCCAACCTTTCAAAGCAGCCTCCATCTCTTCAGTCTTTAGGAGCCACTGAACTCCCAGATGTATGAAGAAAAAAAGAAATCTAAGTAAATGTCACTTCTCAAAGCATGCTTTTACCAATGTCAGATGAAGAGAAGTCAGATTTTTAACAGGAAGAGGATGAAAAGAGGAGAAGACTAGAGAAGACCGTTTGGTTTTGGTTTGTTTGCTTTTTTGTTAGGTTTGTTTTTGGTTTCACTATGTGTATAGGGGAGTATTTTAATAGCAACATTATCATGTATCATAAGGCTATTCACAGCACCGCATGAGAAAGAAGGTAATTCAAAGAGTGGGCGAAGCCAGGACAACCCCACAAATGGGGAAAGGGTGACAGCTGCCCCTGTGAGGTCCAGGCAGCCCCTGGCCTTCTCAATTGCCCCCTGCTTTGAGGGCCTGCAGTCTGTCTCTTCCCCCCGCTGGGGCGACAGGCTAGGGTCCAGCCGGCTCCTCTCGGATTGAAATTCCCTAGACTTCAAAAGCTCAGGCTGGCTTCCGCCTGAGCTGGGCTGGGCAGGGGGTGGGTGTGAACCCCTAGGAGGCCACTGGGAGATAAGATGTGCGGTCCTTTAAAATGGAATCGGAAGTCCAGCCCAGCCACCAGAATGCTGATCGTCTGAAACAGCTTCGCTTCCCAAGAAAACCCTGCTCCCAGTGGCAGTGGGTGTTGGGTCTGCCTCAGTGGTTGTGGCCCCTGCACCTCCCTGGCCTGCAGTGCGTCCTTCCTGTAGCCAGTGTGTGGTCCCCACGGGGAAGGTGCAACAAGGCAGGGCTGGGAGATGGTGAGATGGCTGCAAAGATTTGATCAGAAAAAAACGTGGTTTTGTTTCTCTTTGGTAAGAACAAAGGGAGCTTCCTTCAGCTGTGTGGATATCCTTGTCTCCCCTATACTTTCTAGGCTGTAGTGCAGGACATTGACCCTGATGATTGAGCCCCATTTCTTTTGTGACAGCTGCCCAAGCCTCTCCGGTGCACCCTTAGTGGCACAAAGTCCACTCCATCTCTCAGGCTGCAGGAGGTCAGGCTTCCAGAGCAGGGAGACCATAGCTGGGCCACTCCCTTAGTCCTCACCATGCGGTGAGCTGCCGAGTGGGCAGGGCGTTGGTGCCTGTGCCGCTGCATCGTGCATACACCCCAGAACAATTTTCCCTTCAGACAGATGGAACCTGCATCTTCTAAATTCTGGTATGGACAAGCACTCCTTCCTCTCTGCACCTTGGGGAGCAAAGGTAGAGGGACCTGGGACAAGAAGCTGGATACCTTCTGGCCCCTCATGTCTACTGTTTCTTAAGTCCCCTGAGGTAGCCAGGCCTGCCTGGCTCTGGCCAATGCACATGTCTGCCTGGCCTCCTGAGAGCTGGAGCCTGGTAGCTTCCTGAGCCGGTCTGCATCCCTCCTGCCCAGAGATTTACATCCCCACACCCACCACTCGCCCTACAGAGGCCCCAACAGGCAGGAAACCTTGAGCACTCCTCTAAACTGATTCTTGCCCTTCCTACCCAAAAGCAATTCTCTAACACACAAGTACATGAAGGCAGGGTGGCTCCCTCCTACATACTAGCAGAGGAGGTAAAGTCTCTTCCTTCACCATTGCTGTCTTGAAGTTTGCTACAATGCTGATATCCATCTCCTTTTATCTACATTAGAGTCCTTCAAGAGGTTGTAGGGGTGCACAGCACCTTTTTTTCCCCACAACTATAGCATGACCCATGATTCTGATCCAAATGGCCAGGACATTTAAGTTTCAGACCCAAGTCCTGTCCTTCTCCAAGACCCTGATCTCGAGGGGTGCCCCAGTCCCCAACAATGTGGGTAGAATCACTCCATCAGGCAACCCTCCTCAAAGCCCAGACCCTTGCTGGGATTGAGTGAGGTCCTCTCAATGTGTTCCATCTACCCTCAAATAGAAGACTCACGGCTTTATCCTGCCACCACCACCCCCTTCACAGCAGGGCAAAGAGAAAGCCCACCTGGAAGTCTAGGATCCTTTGATAAAAGCAGACACTATTCTAAGCATTTCACACTTTCCCAAGGCTGAGGTTTTTCTGTCTTTACAACAGGCCCTGGGGAAGATAATACATCCATCCATAGTTTACAACTGAGAACTCTGAAACATAGAGGAAATGTTTCAAACCCAAATAAGAGGATTCCTTTTCCTTCTGGCTTAAAGTCCACACCCAAAATAACTTGAAGATGGATTTGTAGTTTTTCTAGCATTCATGAAACTCTAGGTTTAATCCCCAGTGTTGCAAAAACAGAAGAAAAAAAAATCCAAGAAAAACATAAAACTATGAACTGTTAGAAAGAAGCTCATGGGAGAGGATGGAAGACAACTGACCTCCGGCCACTCCCTCTTGGCATGAAGGAGAGTAAAGAAAAGCAGAGTTGCAAACCATTTGCAATCTTCCCTCTGTATGACATGGATCTGAGGCTAAGTGGAAACTATAGGCGCCTGCAGGAAAGCTGGTGTGGATGCAGAGAGCGGGGCGGGGGAAACTATTCTGGTAGCTTATCCAGAAGCAGGGAGTCTTCAGGGTCTGAGTTCAGAGCTAAACACAACATCATTGCAGCTGCTCATTCTGGAGCCCCTAAGAGGAGGTGCTCCCTGAGTCCCTCTCT